GCTGTTAAAAAGGATATTTATTTTAACGACTCTGTAAAAAACATCGCTTTTCGATCTTATTTTCTCTCGTTATAACCAAATTTACCTCGCTATAGAGGGTTATAGTTCAATAGAAATTTCACGGGACATATGTACCTCGTAATAACCGTATTCGTTATAAAGGAAGTATACTTTACTTTTTCGATAAAATTTTTATTTAAAGCTTTCATGTAATATAAATGCTTTCTAATATTTTACATTATTGAGTATGTAGTGCGATCTATGCCGATTCAATATATTAGCACTTACAACAAGATTTAACAAATAAAAATGCTAGATCTTAATATTTCTTCTAAGCCCTAACCGGTTGAGTCTAAATTTGTAATATTTCGATAGCGGTCTGTAAACGCAACCACAGAAACAGAAACGCAAACACAAAATTGAGAAATTTAATTGAAATGTCCATATTTTGTATTTATTAATATGACTAAATTTTTTGATAACGAAATATACAATTGATATTAAAAATAAATATACACTATAGACACTATTACAATCCTGGACTCATATTTGCTTACGTAATTCCTTTATTATCAAAGTTAAAAGGACATTCAACATTACCAAAAAACAATGTCTATAAAAACTTTTGATATCGACTATATATATTATACAGTGTGAGTCATAACTATTGTGACATAGACTAATGACAGGTTATTTGGACCAAAATATGGCTATTGGGCCAAATATGCCTTAATAAAATGTTGCTAAGAAAAAAGATTTGGCACAGAGGCATAATCTTAGACAAGAAATAGTATTTTATTAACAATTTTACGTTTTGTCATAGAGGGCGCCACGTGGATCATTCCTAATGATCAAATTGAGTCTAAACTTTTTCTGATGAACCTTTTTACTAATTTTTATTAGAAAATATGACGTAAACATCATTTTTACGTAAAATTGGTACTCTTGTTTAAACATGATAATTTCAACCGTTTTCGATAAAAACGCAGTCGAACTGATTAGAGTCTTAAAAAAGGATTTCAAATATTATTTCATTTATGAAAAGTATGCTTTGGACTGTCAGATAATTGTTGTTGGTAAATGTCATTTGTTCAGAGTAAATTATTTTTGATGTGACAGTGTAGTGTAATGTTGCATTTTTTAAAAGTAATCATTACTTTTTTGATTGAAATGCCTCGTCACAATCATTTTACTAATGAAGAAATGCAAGATATGATTTGCGTATACACTCAAGAAAATTTTTGCGGTCGCTCGGCAGCCAGACGGTATGGAATGTTATACGCAAACAGAAGGCAACCAAATCACAAAACTTTTGCAAGATTATATCGTAGTTTAGGTGAAACTGGGTCATTTCACACTAAAAATCGGGGTGGTCGACCGAAACAAATCACACCTAATGAAGAAGATGCACTTTTGGTTCGAGTAGATGAAAATCCTGAAATAAGTTCACGACATCTATCAGCAGCAACAGGAGTAAGTCAGTCGTCTATTGTTAGAATTCTAAAAAAAGAGAACCTCCATCCTTATCACTTCACTCCTGTTCAAAATTTACTTTCAAAGGATCTTCCACGACGGTTACAGTTTTATCAACGTATTCTGACTAAACATCGCAATAACAGACACTTTATAAAGAATATTATGTTCACCGACGAAACAACTTTTACCAGACGAGGGTTTTAATTGGCGAAATATTCATTATTGGGAAGAAGAAAAACCCGCATGCTATTAAAGCTAGACATTTTCAGCATGAGTTTAAATTGAATATTTGGTGTGGCATTAAAGTCGACCAACTACTAGGGCCTTATGTTCTTCCTCCGAATTTAAATGGAGATTCTTATTTATTCTTTTTGGAAAATACTCTTAGTGATATTTTAGATGATCTGTCACTGGATGTAAGAAGAAAAATGTGGTTTATGCAGGATGGAGCGCCACCTCATTTTTCATTAGCTGTTATAAATCATCTTAATGACGTATTTCCTCAACGATGGATTGGCAGAGGCAGTGATTTTCAATGGCCACCAAGAAGTCCTGAGTACAACCCGCTAGATTTTTATTTTTGGGGACATATGAAGTCCTTAGTTTATGCCAATGAAATTAATACACCAGACGAACTTTAGAGATACATTCAAAATGCAGCTAATCTTATAAGGGGACAGAATAATATTTTTTTAACGTCCAAAAATCCTTTATAAAAACAATTAAAAAAGGCATAGAAATCGGAGGAGATCATGTAGAACATTTAGTTTGAGTTTTTTCTTTCAAGTTAAAATGTGTTTAGTTTTGATGTCTCATCAAAACGGAAACCTTACGTTAGTTGCAACTTTGCTTATTAGTTTGGTATTTGATAGTGGAATTGTAAATAACATACTAAGATTATGCATCTGTGCCAATTTTGATAGTAATTTATAAATATACAGGGAAACCATTAGCAAAAAACGAAAAACAAAAATTACCTTTAACACCCTGTATCTTTTTTCTCAGCAACATTTTATCAAGACATATTTGGCCCAATAGCCATATTTTGGTCCAAATAACCTGTCCTTAGTCTATGTCCCAATAGTTATGACTGACCCTGTATATAATATATATATATATATATATATATATATATATATATATATATATATATATTTATATATGAGGGTTGCTAGGAGGTTATGTACGGGGCTTATCCAAAATTCAAAAAGAATTGGCCTATGATATTGTTATAATTATTTAATTTTTTTTTATTTTGCTAATTAAACCAACTTTATGAGAATGATATTTAGTACAGCAGCTGGTTACCTTTCTGTATGTATAGAAGGGTGGATAGTTGACATGTAGGTCCTCCGTCTCAAAAAGATGTCTCCCACTAATTTTTATAAACAATTTTTTTTGTAAATAAATTTTCAAGTTTGAATATTTTAATTTTTATAGTAAGTACCGTATGTTAAAAATAAAAAGTTTATAGTTGGACGGCTTTTTGCAGAAAGGAACCAATCCACAAAAATGAGATTTTCTATTATACCTTCTTATTGTAATACGGGTCATATACTTAACTCCAAAAAAGATCCAAATCAGTTTACTCCAAGGAAGTTGCCTGCAGACGGGATCTAAGCGGTTTGGTTCCTTTCTGCAACACGACTTAACAGTCACAGCTGGTAAGATTAAATTTAGTAGTACTTGGAGAATTAGTTTCGGCGCTGTTTAAAACGTATCTTGTTGTGAAAGTATCTGTTGTATTCAATATTTTTTTGTTTGATAATAAAATGAATATTAACAGATCTGAAAGGATCCTTTTAATGGTACAAGATGCCAAATATGAAGAAAATTCAAGTTTGAATCTGGTAAATAGTAGTGTTATTTTTATTCTGAAACTGTAATAGTATATTAGATGTTGAATAGAAAGAAAGTATATAATGAAAAGGGTTGATTCTCTTCTGCAAAATTCAAAATAGTAATTTTCGTATTTAAACCATAGTATTTTTATTCCAGAATAAAAGCTTATTAAAGTTTAGTGATACTGTAGGTTTCAGAAGTAAGTTCACTTAATGTTACGTCTACCTATGGTACAAAAAGGATCGAAGATGACAAAAGGCCTCACTATAGTTTGGTAATTTGACTATTGTTTTTACAGTATATTGTGTTGTATCTATTGATTTTGTTACACAACTAACATAGAAGAAATGATCTTTAACGATGGGTATGATTCTGATAAGAATATTGAATTAGTTCCAGTTGAAGGTGAAAACAGTGATTCGTTATTAAAGCAAGAAGATAGTGGATCGATCGTGACCAATAATGACACCGAAAAGAACTTTACTAAGAATGAAAATAAGATTCATTATACTCATAAGCGAAAAATAGTAGAGCAAAAAAGTTAAATGAAACATTTCAGTGCTCCTACTCAAAGAAATGTCCTACGGCATTAAGTTTAGAGCAAAGACAAGAATGTTTTAAGACATTTTTAGAATTAGGTAATTATAATGCCCAAACAGCGTATATAGGTATTTGGTAAAAGAATCAGACAAAAAAGGACTTACGGACTAGGCCAAAGACCAAAAACATTCCAGGATTTACGAACTAGATGGAGTCGTAGTCTAGCGTGACACTTTTATCAAAACCCTCTGTATTTCGACAAAAGGGGTTAATTCAGTAATCTTGAAACTTAGATCAAACAGTTTAACAGATAAAAGGGACAAGAACAAGAGGAAAAATAGGATAGATGAACGAAGACAACAAGTAGTTATCGACCAAATAAACAATATACCAAAATACTAAAGTAATTACCGCAGATCCCAATATTCTGAAGCTAAGACTAAATATTCGATTTCTCTACTTACGATGAGACTAGTTGTCAATTAAACTAATCAAATTTTAAAATTTATTTATAAAAATTGGTACCACTTTTTGAGATGGGGACTTACATATTCGTATTCAGCAAAACATTTTACACAAGATAGAATGCATGCAGAAAGGTACCCTGCTGTCGGAATAAATTCTAGTGGCGTAGAATATAATTTAATAAATTTTGCACATTTAGTTTAAACGAAAGACCTATTTTTTCTATTCTTTTTTGTTTAAAGAGTTAAGAAGTTATTTAAATATAAAGAGGCTATAGGTCTCTAGAGGTTTCTAGAGCTATAGGTCATTCACAAGCACTCTTGAAAATTGTTGCCTCTGTTGTATCATAGTCTAAATAATACAACTTTGAAGCACATCTTCTATTACATTTTTTATTTCTTCAGTTGGTGTGATATGTGAGGTCCATTTTGTTCTGTCCACCTGATCCAGAAGACAAGAAACCTGCTGATTTTTTCATTATTCGTTTTATTGAAACATCGATTCTATAAAACCTAGTCCAATAAAGCGCTGTGATTCTTTGACGTTTCAGACACTGAACACGGTATACTACTTTAGAGTGTATTTGTTGATCTTTCTGTTGATCAGGATTCTGGAAACGCTCCGTACAAAACTGTACAGCATTAGAAATAATTTTGATAGTAATAAAACACAAATATACTCTTATATTGTAAGAGGTGTATAATATGTATATAGTCTAAAAATAAGCTCTTTAATAAATATGTTGATCGACGAAGAGTCCGTCAATGTAATCTCACACTTAAAAAAAATTAATCACAATTAGTGCCTTTATACCAGTGCATATCATAACTCACGCAATGTAAAGCGCAGAAACTGACTTAAATGATTACAAGCCACAGTTAATATTGCAGCACCTAAAGACACTTTTTGTAAAAAATTCATATTTCCTAATATGTCGCACCAAAAATCAGTATCAAATAAAATAGGATAGTTTTTTTTCCAAAAATTTTTAGGTAACTTTTCCGAATAAAAAAATAATGCCTTTAAAATTTGTCCAAAATGATAGCAGGTTCAGAAAAATATGTTCAAAATATCTTTTTATGTTTACATTGAAAATATAGGTCATTTTTCCAAATATATTTCAGTAACTATTCAAAAATTTAAAGTGTCAAAAACGTCCGAAAATATAAAATGTTGAACAGAAATTTAAATATTGCTGCCTTGTATTCTAAATTAAACTATTTTGCATTAAATCAAGTCTGAATTTTACTGCAAATACAATTAACGAACTAAATAAAGTCTTTAGTCCAGCTTTTGACACATTTGGACAAATCGTCAAGTTGAACCAGCTGTCATTCATAGACCCGACGTTTTCCAATTTTTTTTATAATATAGAAAATAAAGTCATTTTTGTTTTTCGTTTGTTTTAGACATAACTTAAGAGTGATAAGGCGTTACATAGGTGGCGGGAAAGAGTCCTTTGCGGTGTCCGATTTCGCCGTGCCACCAGTGCTGGTCTGAGCGATCGGTGACGGTGATGACGTCGCCTCTTCTGAACTCCAGTTCGCCTACTTCCTGGGGTGTGAAGTCGTACAAGGCTTGTACCAAATACTAAAACAACAAACGTAACTTTAATTATACAAGGTTCTATAAATCTATTCTTAAAGATCTTTAACAATCTATGGTGCTACAATACAAGTGTTATCTTGAGATATAGTTAATAATATATCTAGTTGATACATTAAATATATCGCTATTTCAATACAAAAGGACCTCAAATCAGTGGCGGCCGGTCAGGGTCGGCAGCGTTGACCCACATATTTATAGACATTATAGATATTTTTTAATATTTAATTTAATCAGTATTTCGATAATTAATTGTGGCAGGTAATAAGTCATTTGTTTATGTGAAATAAAAAAAATTATCTGTGAGATCATAAAGACTAAATTTTATTCATGGTTTTTAAAAGAATTCGACCAATTTGAGCGTTAAGTGATCTCCGTGTTCACGCCATCATATGTTTTAAGCCGATTTCATGCATTTTTCCGATTCGGAAACGCAGCAGTCTATGCGTATGCAGATATATTATGCCATATATGAAGATAACAGAGTTACTAAAAACATCTCAAGACGACAGCACACAAAATATGAGAACGAGAATTGGTGATCAAGCGAATGCGACGCGAAACATAATAATATATAAATATAATATAAATTATAAATTAGCGCTCGGACGCCAACCGTCTTATATTAATGTATTTATATCTTATTGTGTTAATTCAAATAAAGTTCAAATCAGTTTTTCACATGGAGTTTGATTATTTATCAGCGGCACATGCGAAGTGCAAATCAAGTCACATCGACCCTGCTTAAGACTTTCAAATTAAAATCCGAAATCCGAGTCACATATCCGACTGTGTGAATTCTTATAAACACATGTGTCGGGGTTTCGGCAAGCCGATCCTAAGCTTGACGATTTACATGTAAAAAATCAACAATTGCCGATGCTTCATTTGGATGGCAGTCAAGTTTCACTTACCTTGCGAGCGCAGGATGAAATGTTATTTCGGGATCAATAAGTACGAGGGTGGATTGATATAAAACTAGCCTTTGCTAGAAAAAATAAGTTTTCGATTTATTTCCCATCTAATCGACTAAATCGATTTATTTCCCAACATAGTCCCCTTTTAGCTCGATACACTTAGTACGACGATGATCCATTTTTTTATCCCATCCGAATAGTACTTTTGCTCGAGCTCTTCAAAATAGGCCGAAGTTTCAGCGACGACTTCATCATTTGTTCCGAAACGGCGTCCTCCGAGCCATTTTTTAGGTTTGGAAACAGGAAAAATCGCTGGTGGCAAGATCTGTGCAATACGGTGGGTGTTCAACCAATTAATTCGTGTAATTTTGCCATGGCGACGCCGGATCGGTCGGCCGGTGCATTGTCTTGGTGAAAGAGCACTTTTTTGCGTTCCAAACCAGGGTGTTTTCGACGGAATTCGGCATCGAATCGATCCAATAATGCTGCGTAGTACTCACCATTGATTGTTTTTTCTTTTTCCAAATAGTCGATGTAAATGATTCCCTTCGCATCCCAGAACACAGTCGCTATCACTTTACCGGCCGAATGTGCGCGGCGGCCCTTCGCCACGTTTGCGCCACTGTTTCGACTGTTCTTTGGCTTCCGGTATTTAATAATGCACCCAGGTTTCCTCAACGGTGATAAATCGGCGAAAAAAATCCTTCGGATCGCGCCGCATCATCGCCAAAAGCGTCTCTCTCGTGGATAGCTTTTTCATGCCAAAATGATGGTGAATGATGTTGCGTACGCGTTCGTAGGAAATGTTTAGGACCTCTATTAACTCGCGGAGCTTAATTCGACGATTTGTCATAATCATGTCATGGACTTTCTTGTTCATTTCCGGCGTGGTGACTTCATTTGACCTCCCGGGACACTCATCATCAAAAACACTCATAGGACCACGAACAAATTCAGCTTTCCAAAATGTTACTGTTGCTAACGATGGTACAACCTCACCATAAACTTCGTCCAGGTCGGCTTTGATTTGCACATTCGTTTTATCCTCTTTGTGGAGGAACTTAATCACCGAACGATACTCGACTTTATCCATTTCTCCGAAAACACAAAATTTGCTTGCTTTTGCCGGCTGTAAAAACCAAACTAATTGTTTTTAAAACTTAAAATTTTGACAGACGTCATGTCATGAATGGCAAATGTCAACACCGAAACCAATTCGATATCAAGTAGCGCCATCTATCAAAGGTTAGTTTAATATCAATATATGCTCGTACTTAAGAACTTAAATAGTGAAGTGATAGTGAGTGCACTGACTGGCTTTTCTGGTATTATATCGATCAATTTGTTTTGTATTGATTCATTTTAATTTTCTGTGAGCAATATATAGCCTATAAGCAATACTGTGATAAGTTACCGCTGCCGTAAATACTTAAAGGGTATTTTGATATATTAGAACTTTTTTTAATTAAAGTGTAAATAAATTTAGTTAAATTATTTTAGTTAAATATCTTGCAAAATGGGATTTCATCTATTCCATACGAAGAACAAATTGTTATTAAAAATAAGGGACGTCCTTTGTCTAAAAAGTCACGGCTTATAAATATTAGTGCGGGGGGTAAGGGAAGTAATAGATAATTTTCAGATAATTGGTACAACAAGTACTCATGGCTTACCGGGAGTGAAATAAAAAACAAACTTTTATGTTGGCCTTGCATTTTATATTCGACAAATAGGGGCAAACATCAAAATTAGTGGTGTGAATCTGGTTACGAAAATTTAAAGGAATTATTTAGGGCTTTATAGAAACAGATTTCGAAAGATCACAGCCAAATTAACACTTGTGTGCATACTCGGTTACCCGGGTGTCCACCACGGCACATTTTTTCATGTAAGTAACTATACCTACACCAATGACAACTTTGCAAATTAATTTGTTCATTACCAGTATATGATTTTGTGAAACTTAAAAAGTTCTGTATGTAACATTGTACTTCTTGCGATAACATGTTGTTCTAGTAAATGTGATATATAAATTGTTTAACAGCTTAGTACATTTAGTTCCGACTTTTTATACTTTTCTATACACTCATGTTAACGTTATTACTTAAAAACAATTATTACTAAAATACTCTAGCCATAAATTCGTTCAATAAAAACTAATTTTAATTAAAATAATAATGCAATACCATTTAGTAAGATAACCTTCATAAAAAATATAATTAAGTATAGTAGTTAGAATGGTTACAGAGACCAAAACAATAAATATTAACTGCAATGAATCATGACCTTGCAACAACCATGAAAAATTCTTAAAAATATAAATAGAAGTGTGTGAAACTATGAATTATATTAAAAAAGAATCGTTTTGTTATCAATGTCTTAAAAAAGGAAGTTACAGAATGTGAAAATCCCACAGAAGTTTATGTAATGAATCAGAGGTGTATGACATGCATGTACAATAACACAAAATTTATTTTACATGAAAGATGAGTTTATGAAATTCAAAGAATATTACTGGTTGTTTCATTAATATGCGTATACAGAGTGGCCCAAAAGTCTGGAAACGCCTAATGATCTCGTAAATTACTAGACATAATTATACAAAATTTGAGATACGCCTATTTTGGGATACGGAGATTCCATATTTGGTATTTGCAATGTTGCCATATTTTCAGTTTCTCTTATATTACTAGTAACTTCGGTTTTTCAAATACATCACCCTGTATATTCAGTCATTATTGGAATCTCCTATTAAATACACCATATGTAAAACTTATGATTTTATGTAGTCTGGAAGGTCTTGAATACATAAAACAGAAGTCTGGCAACGCCTAAATTGTTTCAATACATTTTTTAAAACTAACTATTTTCAAATACATTAAAACGTAACAATGGATAGTTTAGAATATTTTCAACATAATAGTTACGTTAAGTGTTCAAAATGTGCTCCATTTGTGAATTGACAGCACTCTAATCGATGGTAGAATGCGTCTACCACATTTCTTCATGATTGTCTAGAAATTATTCGAGATTCATCGATAATTCATTGTCTTAGCTATGCAAGACTTGCTGGTTAAGTTTTGTAAACTGAATTTTTCAAGTACCTCTAATAAAAATAATCTTTAGGATTGAGATCGGGTGAACGTGGAGGCCATTCAATTCTACCATATCTACCAATTTATCGTCCGGGAAATATCTCATCTAAATAACGCCGAACATTTACACCAACTATCTGACGTTAAATTTCTTTCGATAAAAAATGGCCCAATTAAATAAGTATCTACTATAACTGAACATACATTTAATTTTTGTGGTCTTTGAGTATGGTTTTCACGCATTTAGTGTGAATTTCACACGAGTTCAGCTATTCAATACGAGTTCAACCATATGTTCACTTGATTTTATGTAGTCTGAAAGATCTTAAATACATAAAACAGTGCAAAATATGTAGATTTTAATAAATTTAAATACTTAAATGGAGAATGCTGTGATTTTGACATTTGCTCACCATTTAAATTATGAACTAAAATTGACAATAGTTGTAGTTCAAAAAGTTCTGCAATTTAAATTGCTTCTCTAAAATGCCGTTCTCTAAACCGTTCTCCTATTCATAAGTGGAAAATATATCGAACTTAGTAGTGAAGTTCGGTTCGGTTCGTAATGCCCCTTTGTCCGCTTCTCGTCGATCGATGCTGGTAGGGTTAATAAATGTTGAAGTTGTGGAGTAAAGGTGATTATTTATTGACAGCAACTCGTAATTACACAATATGGTGTTCGTTCGGTAACTACTCAATATTGACTGTGTTCATTTGAACTCAAATCCCCAATTTATAATCTCACACATAATAGATACATAAGCACTTTAGGTCATTGCTTCGTTCATATCACACCACCTAGCTTTTGCTTATAATACAATTTAATCTACGCCTTAATTGCGACACTTAGGAAGTTCAATTAGAAAATATTATTATTCGGCAATTTATTTAGTTGTAGGTAAATGAACTAATATTAAATTATCATACGATATGCTTTTGCAATATATATAATGCAAACTTATACACGGTGAAACTATAAAAGATTAAGAAGTTAAGAATAATGTGAGATTACAAATTAAGGGGTTAATTTGTGATTGAACAATAAGACAACGGTACAAAAAACTGTAAGGCGATTTGAGGAATCTGGAGAAGTAAAAGATAGATATCGATCAGGTTGACCGAAACGAGTTATCAAGACAACAAAACTTCAGATATAAGCAAAGTTTTGTTGAAGATCCACATACATCCTCAGACAGGGTTGCACAAGTACATGATGTAGGTCATTCTTCAGTCTTACGTTTATTAGGTAAAAATAAATTTAAATCATACAAAATTAACTTATTGCAAGAATTAAGTGAAGATGACTTTAGTCATAGATTAGAATTTACTGAGGTAATGATGGATAAAATTGAAAATTATTAAAATTTCGTTAACAGAATATGTTTTTCCGATGAAGCAACTTTTACACTGTGTGGAAGTGTAAATCGACACAATTTAAGGTACTGGTGTGACGTAAATTCACACTGAAGACTGAATGCGTGAAAACCATTCTCAAAGACCACAAAAATTAAATGTATGGTCAGATGTAGTAGTTACTTATTCAATTGGGTCATTTTTTGTCGAAATAAATTTAACGTCAGATATTTGGTGTAAATGTTCGGCGATATTTAGATGAGATATTTCCTGGACGATAAATTGGTAGACAAGGTAGAATTGAATGGCCTCCACGTTCATCCGATTTCAATCCTAAAGATTATTTTTATTAGGGATACTTGAAAAATTCAGTTTACAAAACTTAACCAGCAAGAAACAATTTGGACGTTGCCAGACTTCGGTTTTATGTATTTATGACCTTCCAGATTACATAAAATCATAAGTGTTACATATGGTGGAACTCGTATTGAATAGGAGATTCCAATAATGACTGAATATACAGGGTGATGTATTTGAAAAACCAAAGTTAATAATAATATAAGAAAAACGGCAAATCTGGCAACATTGTAAATATCAAATATGGAATCTCCGTATCCCAAAATAGGTGTACCTCAAATGTTGTACAATTATAACTAGCAATTTACGAGATAATTAGCCGTTTCCAGACTTTTGGGCCACTCTGTATATCTTACTGCACGCTTGATGTAAAAATATGACTAACTCAAATCAGTTAGACACAATTTGCTCCTTTATAAGATACAGGGTATTTTACGTAAATATTTAAAAATGAATTGTGATCATTATTTTAGTACCCTTTAATATTCTTTATTATATTTTACATCAAGGCAAGTAGTACAGTGGCGCAATCCAGAAAATTTTTGTCGAGAGGAAGTGAGGGGTTTGGGTTTTGTGGGTGATTGTGATATAGGATTTAGATTTTTAAACCTTTACGATATCGATATGATGATTTGTGCCTCATGTAAGGGAACCACTTTCTCAATAATTATTTTAAGCGATATATTAAACCAATGAGAAGATATTAAAACCCAAATAACCTACGGGTGCAAAGAAGGGTACAACATTAAGGGGTATTAAACTTAAACAAAAAAAAATATTTAAACCCGCATACTCTATAACAGTAAAGTCAAGTGTATAAGACTATTAAATCAAAGAAAAGTTATTAAAATATAAATACTGAAAAATCAAGGACTGTAAATTTAAACTACGTATTTGAAAGACATTTAATTAAAACCCACCTATCCTATGGATACAAAATCAAGAACAAACCAAGGATAAATAAGTATACGCCAAAGTTAAATAATTTAAGTGTAATACCTAACTCAAATTTACAATTTACCGAAAGAAATTTACGTTAAATAATATTATGTAAGAATACTATTTATTAAAAAAGAATATGCAAAACTATGAACAACGGGTTAATGACACATATATTTATTTCATAACTACAATTTGACAAAGTGTTACTATGGAAAACAAAAGTGCCTTTTACTACAACGAAAGGTTTTCTGCGAATTCCGTTAATCGTTTAGCGGTGTAAGTTGGTTGAATGTACTGTACATGATTTAATTCAAATAACTCACCTCCTCAGCCACCATATCTCTTAATTTAACATCCTGTGAACGGGACACTGAAGAGGTTCTATGATATTCCACTAATTCATTGAGAGAATTGAATTTCACTACCCATAGGAAGAATTTGCCAGTAGCATCACGGAGTACTTTGAAATGTTGAACACCATCTGAACATCTAAAAAAAAAAAATAAAAAACGTGATCAACAAGAAGGTATTACAAATTCTTCAATAAGAATAGTAAAACGCTTTGAAAAGTTTCCAAATGAGTTTAGAAAATGTTTTCAAAACCCATTCTAAACGTACCTCCTGTAAAGTTAGAACCAAATATACACATACATATTTATTAAAATTTAGGTAGTATTCCTTTCAATATACATATTTTTTCTATGACTACTTCCACTGTTACATCAAATGTTTCAATTTTTTCTTTGAATGCAGATTTGAGCTTAGGGAACAGATCAAAATCACACTGCATAATGTGCATAGTCTGTCTCAACTTGACTTTACAGTACAGGTTCTTATGAATAATAATGCCAAATGTTATCAGAAACAGGTTTGAAGCAAATATACTTTTTTCTATAAATATATATATATATATATATATATATATATATATATATATATATATATATATATATATATATATATATTATTGTGATATTTCAAGTCTTGGTGCGCCAAGCAATTAATTAGCCAATTAATTAATTAATTAATTAAAATTATTTAAATGATATGATTATGACTCTATCACACTTTTTAATTCTCTTATCTCAGGGTTAAATTCGTGCTTCAATATCTATGCTATTACTGTGAAAAGGTAAGGTCCAGAAGAATACCGGAATAATAAACAACACATATGATATACACACTATATATTGAAATAAAATAATAAAATAATTCACACTCAAATGTTTCCAATAAACAAAATCTCAGTATAATGTATCTCAAAATTTTGTTCGACGTAACGTGAAACCTTCAACAATTAATGGACAAACTATATAATTGAAATCTCAAAATCCCAAATTTTCTAACTCTCCTATCCAAATATTCTATCGCATTCTAAATTTAGTGAATAATTGTGTTATCAATAAAAGAAAAACTGAGGAAAACAAAAATATCTCTCTCTGATATGAGTGGTCCCAAATCCGTTGTTCCTTGTATACTATATTTTTCTACACTCAGGCGCTCCCTAGGTAATCAGCAATCTGACAAGCATATTGTTTGCAAGTATTATCGTCTGAATGATCTGCCTTCAAAAGCACGAATTTATTCAAATTATGATAGACCTGTCTCTTTCTCTCGATAATCTGAATCTCTCGTTGGCCAGAGTAAAAAATGACTCTTGGAATATCCTTCTCATTTGTTACGATAAACTGAATCTCTCGTTGGCCTGAACAGTGACTCTTGGAATATAAGTAGAAAAATATACTGACAAGATTTTGCTGCTTCAGCTTCTGTCTGATACACTAACTCCACAAAAACTCACTAACTTTCAAGACACTAACTGCTTGCTACCTCTCGGAACCGCCAGAGAACAATCACTGTTCGTCTTACATACTTGGAAAAACCCAACTTGAAAATATTTTAAACATACAATATTTTTCTCGATTTTACATATCATAACATTATATATTGATATATATAATGAGCACTACCGCCATAGGCCCATGGCTTGAGCTTTGTTATTGTTTTCCATTTCTTCCTATTAGTAGCCTTGTCCTTCCATCTTTCTATTCCCAGTGTTTCTAGGTCTTTCTCTACTTCTTGCTTCCATCTACTTCTCGGTCTTCCTCTCCTTTTTTTTGGACCCATTGTATGCATCAGAATCATTTTTGGTACTCGAGAATTTGTCATTCTTTCTATGTGCCCTAGCCACCTGAGTCTCTGAGCCTTTACTACTCCCACTATACTAGGATTCTTGTACATATCTTCTAATTCTTTATTTGTTCTTCTTTTCCATGTATTGTCTACTATCTTGCCTCCAAATATCTTTCTCAAAACCTTCCTTTCCCATATTTCGAGCATACCTGTTTCGCCTTTGTTCAGTGTCCACACTTCACTGGCGTAGGTTACCACTGGTTGTATAACTGTTTTGTAAATCCTTATTTTGGCATTCCTAGATATCTGTTTACTTTTTAATAGCCTGTTTAATGAGTACACGCATCGGTTTCCTGCCATTATTCTTGATTGGAGCTCCTCTCTAATATTTGGTTTGCATGTGAACATCGACACCAGGTATGTAAATCTTTCCACTGCTTCAAATATATATGCTTTTTCACCCTCTACTTCTATTTTTAGATTTCCTCCTTTTTGTTCACTGTCATCTATCCATTCCATGTATTTTGTAAAATTAATGGGAAAAACCCCGTAATTGGCTGTATACCATCGTTTAAAAAAACACAGAAGTTAAAACACTTCACAATTGTATATTTTGGTATAAAAACATACAAGTACTTAAAAACTTTTTAAAAAAGTGTCGTCAACATTTAAAATTATGGCAGAACGTTTTCAATCTATACAGATCATCTTCAGTGTCTTTGGTATTTGGTGCTAACAATAAGGTGTCTATAAGACTTCCATGTGTGGATATAAAAAATATATCACATTTTACATTTAATAATGTTGAGAGTCTAGGTCGATGACAATGGAATTGGTTTTAAATTAAAATTTACTTTAGGGACTACATGTCTCTTAAGCTCGAAAGAGTAGTAGAAGATGTAGTCCCTAAAGTAAATTTTAATTTAAAAACAATTCCATTGTCATCGACCTAGACTCTCAACATTATTAAATGTAAAATGTGATATATTTTTTAAATCCACACATGGAAGTCTAAGGGCGAGCGCCCACCAAACTGGCGTGGCAGTGGCAAGTAGCAAGTAGCACGCGTCTAGCATAATGTAACCAATGAAAACGAATGATTCAGCGCTCACCAAAATGATAGTGACGTCATTCATTCTAATAATGTTTTTGCATTGGTTACATTTAAAAATAACATGCTAGATGCGTGCTACTTGCTATTTGCCACTGCCACGCCACTTTGGTGGGCGCTCCCACTTATAGACACCATATTGTTAGCACCAAATACCAAAGGCACTGAAGATGATCTGTATAGATTGAAAACGTTCTGCCATAATTTTAAATGTTGACGATATTTTTTTAAAAAGTTTTTAAGTACTTGTATGTTTTTATACCAAAATACACAATTGTGAAGTGTTGTAACTTCTGTTTTTTTTTCATGTATTTTGTCTTACTTTCGTTGATGGCTAAGCCTATTTTCTTTGCCTCTCTATCTAGCCTCTTTACTACTTCTTGTAGCTCCCATTTGCTTCGTGCCAGTATTACTACATCGTCAGCAAAGGCTAGACATTGGTGCTTTCTTTGGTATAACAATCCCTCTCTGTTGACATTTGCATCTCGTATGACCTTCTCCAAACACAAGCTGAATAGTATCGATGATAGGGGATCTCCCTGCCTTACTCCTTCACTGACTTCAAATTTTTCCGACATTATATTATTTATTTTAACTCTGCTCTCAGTCTTGGACAGCGTTATTTGTATCATTCTTATAAGTTTTCTACTGATACCCAATTCTTCTAGTGCTTTGCTCATTTGGTTCCGTTTTATTCTATCGTACGCTTGTTTGAAATCAATGAAGAGGACCCTTGTCGGCAGATTGTGTTGGTAACTTTCCGCTTGCAATTCTCTGAGCGTAAATATCTGATATGTTGTACTTCTACCAGGTCTGAAGCCACATTGGTACTCGCCGACAATGTTTTCTATCACTCCTGCCAATTTGTCCTTTATACACGCTGCAAGAATTTTGTATGCAGTATTCAATAGTGATATCCCCCTGTAATTTTTACAATCTGTCCTATCGCCTTTCTTATAAAGTGGGCATATAATTGCATCTGTCCATTCTTGTGGTAGTTGTTCTTTAATCCAAATCTCCTTTATTAATTTGAACATTTGCTCCTCTAGCGTTTTCCCTCCATATTTGAACATCCCTGCAGTTATATTATCACTTCCTGGACTCTTGTTATTTTTTAATTTCTTTATTATTTCCTTTATCTCATTTCTGGTAGGGGGTGTTTCTTCTGTCTCATTTATTTGGTTCCTATGTTTCTCCGTTCTTATAGGTTGTGGCTGTTCTATCCTGTTTTCTTCATTTAGCAATTCATCGAAGTATTCTTTCCATCTAGCGGCTATTTCATTTTCTCCACAAATGGCGTTTCCCTCTTTATCTTTGTAAAATATTGTTTTCTTTTGGTATCCTCTTTTTTCATTTTTTACTCCCTGATATAAATTTCTAGTTTCTCGATTTTTGTAATTTTCTTCTATTTCTTTCAGCTGATTTTCCATGTACTTTCTCTTTTTCATTCTCAAAACTTTTTTTACGATTTTCCTTTGTTTTTTATCTCTGTTTCTTGTTTCTTCCGTATCACTTTTGATCATATCCATCCTTAGTTTACTTCTTTTTTCAATTTCCTTCTGGCGTTCTTCGTCAAACCAATCCTTTTTCTTTTTAGTTATTTTTTTATAGCATTCTTTAGCTGTGTTACTGGTAATCTGCTGAATTTTGTCCCAGTCCTTGTCTATGTGCCCTTCTAGGTATATTTCATTTAATTTTCTATCGATACCTTTTCTATACATTTCTTGTTCTTCTTGCGTTACAAGCCGCACTGGTTTATTTGTGTTCTTATTTTTTCTTTTGCGATTTTTTTCTTCTGGTATCAGTTGAGCCATTTTAATTCCTAACATGAAGTGATCCGAGTCAGCGTCTGGTCCTCTGTATGTTCGCACGTTCTTTATACATTTTCGGTCTTCTCTCTCTATTAGTACATGGTCAATTTGATTTAATGTTTTTCCATCTGGGGATCGCCATGTTGCTTTGTAGATGGTTTTCCTCTCGAAATATGTACTCATTACTAGCATATTTTTTTCTTTGGCAAAATCTATCAAAAACTGCCCGTTCTCATTACTTTCCTCGTGTTTGCTAAATTTCCCTATAGTTGTTCTATATATTTTATATATATAACTATAAATACCTTAGGAATTAATATTATTGATATTTTGTGGCTGTCGGGGGTTTTAAAACATTTTGTTTTTTTGACCTTTCGACCTTTATGCGAATAAAATAAGAATAATTTTGTAGAAAAAAATTGTATAATAATGTATTTGTATGACCTTAATAAATACGTAGGTAGCTACATAAATAATAAATGTATTTAAACTGTGTATTTTACATTTCTTCTATATTCCCGTCTTGGGTTGATATTGGCCAGTAAATTATCGATATTCCACATCTGTTTTTCTATGCTAATTACGTGTAGAACGTAATTATTCCATTTTTGTGGAGTAACTTGAGAGCACTCTTCATGTATTAGATTTTCTACTTGTTCCTTCTTAAAGTTTGTGTTATGTCTTGCCACGAATCTTTTCATTTCACTCCATACCATCTCTATCGGATTTAGTTCACAGTGATATACCACAGGTAATCTTAGCAACTTAACATTCTTACTTTTTGCAATTTCATCTACGATACGCTCATCATACTGCGATTTAAAATGAGCTACAACGTCCAACAGTTCGGATTTTAGGTAATCTTAGAACAGCAATTGGTGAGCACATATGGCGAGGCTAATCAGTATCCATTTGCCAGACTACAGTGAAACACTGAGTATGAATTGCAGAGATCTTCGATGCGTTCATACGTCGGATGGATGGATGGAGGAGGAGCTGAAGGGAGTGATGGAGGGGCTGTGGGTTCATAATATTGGGGTATTTCTGTTATTGTGATTTTATTATTGTGTATTTTAAAATCTTGAAATTTGTATAAACCAGGACTACTTTGAATGTAATAATCAAGTTAAGTCAAAAAAAATTGCAGGAAACATATATAGGTTCATGTTGCAGAGGTCCATACTACTCAAAACAACTCTCATTTGCCAAGAGGCTCTATCACAAACAGTGTAGTTTTTGTGCTTATTTCCCTGAACTATCATTGTTAATACCCATAATTATGGCATTTTTTGAGTCGATTTCCACGGAACAAATTATAGAATAAATAATAATAAGTTGCCTGTGGGAGTTTTTGTCAGTTCTTGTACCAGGCGCGGGCACCTGCGAATGGGGGATGCTTTCTCGGTATTCGTAGGATCAATACCCAGAGGGTAGCAGGGATACTTGCCGTGAAACAAAAACTAACACCTGGCAGTAGGTATAAAATCTTCTTCTTCAAGTACCATCTCCGCGGCGGAGGTCGGCAATCATCATACATATTCGGACTTTTGAGACGGCTGCTCTGAAAAGTTCATTTGATGTACATCCGTACCACTCTCTAAGGTTGCGCAGCCATGACATTCTACGCCTCCCTATGCTTCTCTTTCCTTGGATCTTTCCCTGCATAATCAGTTGGAGCAAAGTGTATTTCTCTCTGCGTGTAATATGTCCGAGAATTTTCTTGTTTTAATTGTATTTAAAATTTCCATTTCTTTATTCATTCTACAGAGAACTTCTTTGTTTGTGACGTGTTCTGTCCACGATAGTTTCAGAATTCTTTTATATACTCACAGCTCGAATGATTCCAGTTTTTTCATTGATGTTGCATTCAAGGTCCAAGATTCCATTCCATAAAATAAAGTCGAAAAAACATAGCACCTCGCCAACCTAACTCTTAGTTCCAGTTTTAAATATCTGGTACATAACACTCTTCTCATTTTGTTGAAATCTGCTCTAGCATTTTCTATTCTGATTTTGATTTCCTGACTGTACTCATTTATTGAGTTAATCATTGTTCCCAGATATGCATATTTGTCAACTTGTTCTACGTTGGTTCCGTTTACTAGATGATTCTTGCGTTATTTCTTTGAGTTTTCGATATTCTTATAAATTTCGTCTTCTTGACATTCATTGTTAGACAATACTCTTTTTCATACTCTGCTTTTCTGATATTGTTCTGAAGCTATTTTCTTGTGGCATTTTAAATTAATTACTATTTAACTGGGAATAAGCCACAATTAAAGATAAAAATACGTTTATTGACGTATTCAATTTCCACTTCGGAAATCGTTCTCGATTTCCGAAGTGGAAATTGAAATACAAATCAGGAGACAATGCAGAATGGAGAGTACCCAGACAGTACCTATTATCCTATCTACTACCGGTTTTATTCCCAAAAACCTCATACAGAACATCACTATAAGGTCATGCAGAAAGCTGTACGCCTCGCGACGTCCAGATGTGTACGAAAAGTTTTGGGAAATACTCTAACTTACCAAGTCACCTAGGGCTCGATAACACGGAAAGAGTCCCACCAGAGTTCAATCCTTTTGATACCGTAGGTATCTGGGATGAGTGAATTTTCCTCTTAGAGGGAGTGTGAGCAGTATGGCTAAATCTGGGATAATAATATAGTATGTATTCTTTCAGCGATTTTACGGCGCCAATTGCATCTTTAACCCTGTTTCAAGTAGCTAGTATCGATGCATACTAGCCAGGGAGACCGACGGCTTTACATGCCCTCCGAAGCACGGTGAACGCTTGTATTATTTTTAGAAATGAATACGTCGTTGTTAATGCCGAGATTCGAACTCAGATATAAATCAGAAATAGATATCGTCAGCTTCTCAAAAAACTTAATAAAACAATAGGTTAGAAGTCTTACGTAAGTAATCTTTTTTTATGTCATGTTTCTTCAATTATATTTTTCTTGCTTATTTGTTTAGATGTATTAGGGCCGATTGTTCGAACGCTAAATCAAATATTTAATTACAATCAAATACGTCACAGCAGCTGTTAAAATTATTAAAAATTGCTTATTATTATTATTGATTTGTAAATAAAAACATAAAATTAACATCGGAAAGAGTTTAATTATGGTTTATTTTAAATTATAACGCAAAATAATAAAATTGAATAAAATAAATCAGTCAAAAAAATGTGACGTATTTGATTTTAATTCAATATTTGATTACAATCAAGTTTTGATTAGCGTTCGAAAAATTGGCCCGTAGACTAATGAATGTTCATATATGCATACTGTTTTTTAATTGTTTGTATTTACTTTGCCTATTCTTAATTTTTTACCTTTCATTATACAACTCTTTTGTAAAATGATTTACCTATTAATAATAATAAATGAATAAATAAAAAAATTAAAAAAATATGATTAAAAAAAAATTAAAATCAGTGATATTTGTTATTTACTATTGAAAATATTTCCTATTAGAACATTATACATTACTGAACAATTCTAATTGCAAAATGATAAATGACTTACTTTACTGATAAAGAAAAGTCTCCAGGACTCGATTCACTAATTCTTATTAAAAAGGCCCCTTCATGTTTATTTAAGAGTAATTTTTCAGCATCCGCCCTAGTGATTCGTCCATAGTACCATCTAGAAAAAAGAAAAATATATACAAATACAAATAAACGATCAAATTTCTCTGCTAGATATATTTATTGTTAATGAAAACAAATTTATTTTTAACCTACGACATTCATATTAATATTGACTACGCTGCTGTTTGTGCGACCCAACTGTCTTTGGTAACTATTTTTGAATCATATGGTCTCACAATGCACGTTAATTCTCCAACAAGAATCTCAAAAACATCATCCTCGACAATTGATTATGTGGTTTTCGATTTTCCACCCGCTGACGTCCATTCTACAGTTATTAGTGGGGGGCTTTCTGATCATGAAACGGTATATACCAAGTTTAGCAGTTTACAAACACCTCACTCAAAAACCCGACGATTAGGTAGGATTTTTTCCACTCAAAACTTTCGTAAATTCTATAATTCATGCTTGACTTCTGACTGGAGTTTTTCTTCTGGAGACATTGACTGTAATGTTAGTGATTTTCTAAATAGACTTGTATCTATTTTTAATAAAGCATTTCCTCTATTAAACATCAGGCCAAAACATAATAAACCTTGGATTACCAAGGGCATTCGCATATCTGCGAAAAATATGCGTTCTCTGCTATATATTAAAAAATTTAATGACAGTATCCCCATCTCTGATTATATCAACAAGTACAGAAAATGCTATATAAAACTACTCAAAGTAGCCAAAAAATCCTACTTTCATAATCGCTTAACAAGCTCCAAAAATATTTCAAAAGAAACTTGGTCAATAATAAACGATTTTCGAAATAAAACCAGTACATCGGATCAAACCTTTTCTTTTCCTAACCCCGAAAATCTAAATGATTACTTTGTTAATGTGAGTAAAAATATAACCTCAACTATTTCGCCGCAACAAGATCCAGTTTCCTATCTCTCTAATTCAAAAAACATTGCTGATACCTTCTTTTTAAGACCAGTTGATAAGACGGAACTCATTTCAACAATTCGTAGTATAAAAAGCACATCGTCCTGTAGTACAGATGGATTATCTATTAAAATTTTCTCAAATCTACCGCATAATGTTTTGGACGTCATGGTCTTGCTAGTAAATGATTCCCTTGAAAAAGGTACATTCCCTAACTGCCTAAAGACTGCCATCGTCATTCCTCTTCATAAAGGTGGAGAAAAATCTGATGCCTGCAACTATAGACCTATTGCCTTGTTACCAGCACTATCAAAAATTATTGAAAGACTTATAAAAGTTCGACTTATGCCCTTTCTCCTTAAATATAATATAATCAGTTTGGCTTTTTGTCTAATAAATGCACTAGTGATGCCATATTTTCTGTGTTACATGATGTATATCTATCACTAAACAGTAACCTATCCTCCGCCACCGTTTTCTGCGACTATTCCAAAGCCTTTGACTGCGTAAATCACGACATTCTATTAAAAAAATTAACTTTCTATGGAATTCGGGTGTGTCTTTGAACTGGTTCAAAACTTACTTGGTAGGTAGGAAACAATTGGTTAGAATAAATGACACCGACTCTAGTTGTAAAGATATTGAGTGTGGAGTACCGCAAGGTTCAGTATTAGGTCCCATTCTTTTTTTACTTTTCATTAATGACATCACTTACTTGAAAATTAAAGGGAAAATTTTTCTATTTGCTGATGATACCAGTATTACTTGGAGCAGCTCTGATATTTCAACGCTTCATTCAATTATAACCGATGATTTACTTATAATCAAGGCTTGGTCAGACTCCAACTTACTTAGCTTTAACGTGGATAAGACTGTAGCATTATCTTATAAAGGAGTCATGCAACCCTTGCTTTTGAATGAGAGCCAAATCAATATCGTAAATTCCGTGAAATTTCTAGGTATTCTCATTGACAGTGATCTCAAATGGTCCTTGCATACTGACTCCTTAAGGAAGAAACTAGCCTCAGCTTGCTTTGCAATAAGATCTGTTTCGAAGGAACTAAATTTATCTTCTGCCAAAATGGCATATTTCTCATTGTTCGAGTCCCATCTTCGATATGGGCTTCCATTTTGGGGTTCTAGTACAGCGGCCCAATTTGATACTATTTTTAAGTTGCAAAAAAGAGCAATCCGTTATCTATTTGGTCTCAAACAAACAACTCATTGCAAGACCTACTTCAAAAATCACGGAATTTTGACGCTTCCCTCTTTATTTATTTTGGAAACGGTTTGTTTGATTCGAAAGCATCTAAACATTTTTCCCGATAGACCTGACCATGGCTACTCCATTAGAAATTCGGATTGTAACGTTTATTTGCCGATCCCGTCCACTCAGCTAGTAAAGAATTCTATTCTATATCGTGCAAAGAAACTTTATAATCACCTTCCAAGAGAAATTAAATCCGCAACATCCTTCATTAAGTTTCGTAAGGTGACAAAAATCTATCTCTCAGAAAGACCATATTATTCAGTTGACGAGTTTCTTAATGTATAACAAAGAAACAAAATTAGTATTGTTTATAATTACATTTGGGTGTCTCAAGCAGTGGCTACAATTTGTCTCATTTGTTGTTGTCTGTACAAATTGTGTAGGTTATACAATAATTTTACTAATTTAAAATTGTGTTATTCTGTTTTTTACTATATTGTTTTTGTTTTATACTTTTTGTATTATTTGACTGATTTATTTTTTAGCTTTGTCCATAAAATTGTTCAATAATTTTCAGTGACAATAAAGCATATTTCTATTTTATTCTATTCTAAAAGTTTTATTCCTAGCCAAGGAACAGCTCAAATGGAAAGCTGATTATGAGGAATATGAGACAATAAACTAATCCATCCAATACCTATTTAATCAAGTGTATCCTTTTACTTATAAACTGACCAAACTGGAAACAGTTGTTCAACAAACGTTTACGTTAACTCACCGTATTATAATTAAATTTGAAAAATCCACTTGTATCCTAATGAGCCTTATTATTTTGCAAAAACTTACGGCAAATTATTATTATAATGTCACCCACTGGAATACAACAAGGTTACCAATAAACATTAGCAATAACTGATATTTTTGTCAGAATATTCCATAGGCTTAAATAATTTTTTAATGACAAAAATGTATAAAGATAATTTATTTGAAAACTGCAAGAGATGGATGGATGGATATAGAATAAATACAGATAGATAGTGAAAAACATAGTCCCATTTGAAAAAAAGGAATTAGGCGAAAATTTACAATGCCGGTTTTAGGACGCCAATTTTGACAGCACCCTATAAAAAGGCAATTTTACACTGTAAACGATAATGCTGTATCTAGTTAATAAGTTATAGTTGATAAAATACTAATTGGAGTATAGTTCTTAATATTAAAATGCTCCTTTTAAAAAATGAACAATACCATGGACAGGGAAAATTTTCTTGTGGTAATAACATTTAAAAATAAATAGATGAGTTTTGAGAGAATAAAGATATGGCATTTATCTGGTTCAGAACTGAGTTTATCCTTAATACCTCAATGTGTCTAAAAGACTTAACAACAAATTAACTTTATTGGGACCGTGCAAGTTCGGAACAGTGATACCTGGTGTCGTAAATCAGCAAAATTTACTGCGCTTTCATGTTAGATCGAGGTTACCGGATAACTGTCAAGGACGTAGTCCCAAAAAAGAATAAGAAGAAAAACTAAGATTGAGGTTATGTCGGTGTTATTAAAAGGTAAACTTTACATGTAGGTAGTGTAAATACAAATAAATATATTATTAAATTACAGCATTACTGTTAATATGGATGCAATAATAAAAACTGGATTTGAGAAAGTAAATCACCAAATAACTTTTCAACCAAGCACTGGGTCAAAGGGAAAATCTTTAGTAGTGGCAAATGTCAAAAAAGAATGGAAGAATTAAGAAAAATATATTACCATAAACAATGCTAATGCATAAATTAGCAGGTTAAGCCCATGATATCATCATATTGGTTTGAACAATTAATTCTTTCCCTGTAAACTTTTGGACAGCGAATATAATATATCTTAATGCATCTTCAGAAAAACTTTAACTTGATGCATTTTTGTAAACTTCAAAAAAATAAAATTTAAACATTAAACTTGATTTTTGGGTTAAAATGACCTTTAAGTGAGTGTTATGAAACTAAAATTTACACTTAAAAGTGAACTTTTATTTATTATTTATTTCAAACTGTCTTTAAAATCGGGCGCAAAAATAATGCATAATTTAGGTTATGTTACTTATGCTTTTTTATGATATAAATCCACTTTTCTCTTTGTAGTAATTTGTGCTTCGAAGTTGGAAACGAATAAACCTTAAATTGACAATTTTTTGTTTATTTTTACAATTTATAACACAGCATTTCCTAAATCCCATTTTCTTCAGTGACAGAAGGTGTAAATAAACAAACGAGTATGAAATATGACAATAATTGACAATATGAATTTATGAAATCTATGAAATGTGCAGTAAAAAATGCAAGATTTCTCCGCTACTCGCGCACGATCGTTTCTCGTAATAGATCCAAGTACTTGCACGTCGCCAATAGGGCTAATATGGAATGAATCTACATGTATTAAGCTATCAGACAATTTAGTTCTTATAACACAACAAAGAAATTCTTTTACCTCCTCTTCTATATACGTACACACACACAAACACACACTCTCAGGGATTCTACAATATTCACTGCCTTCCCTCGCTCAACCGTTTTCATCTCTTTCTGTTGTCCCAGTCTCCATCGTTTAGGTCTCTCTTACTCATGGCGTTATCTACTTCGTTCCTCCAGGATCTTCGGGGTCGTCCTCTTTTCTTCCTTCCTATGGGGCTCCATTCGGTTATTCTCTATATCCATCTGCTGTATCTAGTTCTTCTTACATGTCCATACCACTTTAGTCTTTTTTGTTCTATATATGTAGTGTTGTCTAAAATCGGTCTTGGTCTTGCAGTCTTGGTCTTGTTCTTGCGTTTTTGCAAGACCGAGACCAAGACCAAGACTGCCTAATTTTTGCAAGACCAAGACTAACTGTGCAAGACTTAAGCAAGAACAAGACTAAGCCAGCGAGACTCTTGCGTTTTGCAGTTAAGACTGTGTGTGGTCTTAGGCAGTATACTAGTTCGGGTGTATGCTTAGAGACTCTATGAGACGCAAAGAAATATTAACAAAAATTTGGAAAATTTGACTTGTGCATTACGAAAAATACCATAAACATACATAGCGAATCAAAATGTTCATTACAAGAACACTTAAAAATTTGACACGTACTCAGAGGTCATAATTACAATTTAAAAATAAAATATTTTGTACATTCTTTCCCAGCACACTACTTCTTTAGATTTTGAAAATGGTCCCTTCTAATTATAAAATAATATCTTTGCTTTGCGACGCCTACAGTAATATCGTATCGAAACTTTTTAAAAATGTGTCACCTTAGCTGATAAAAAATATAATTAGGTTAGCATATTTTTTTCCTTATAATTTAGTTATGAGGAATTTAAATACCACAAATATTATCGGCCTAAGACTAAACATTTTCTGCAGAGTATGCGATATCATTCAAAATTTGCTGAAAGAATGCGGCTACTATTCAAAAGTAACGAGATAAACAAACAAAGAGATAATACCGATTACAGTGTAAACAAAATACCCATATATTTAAAGTAACGAAATAACGATAATAATTCTCGGTTTTTTATTCGGTACTTAGGGTATTTGATACTAACGAGTATAAAGTAACGAGTAGTTACTTTTTCGACATCACTACTTCATTCTCAATCAAGCTTTCCTTCTAGCCTAATGCAATAATTGTTTTTTTATCTTATCCTTGTTGTTCTCGGTGATCAGTGAGAAGTTTACAATTTGACATGAGTGACGAATTTAACACGAGTGATTCAAATAGTTCTAGTCGGAGTAATGAGAGTTGGAGTCATAGATCTAAAAGACCTATGACGTAAATCATAGATCATAGATCTAAAAGAAGCGTAGCATAGAGGAAGACTCGAATCAGTATATGCGCCATCTTGCACAGCAGTTGGATATGTGACCATCCATTTATGGAAGATTTTGCGAAAAGATCTTGGTTTGCGTGCTTACAAAATCCAACTTATGCAATAATTAAAGCCACACGATCACCTAGCAAGGCGTAGATTCCGTGAATGCGCCCAAAACAAGATTGCCGTTGATCCTGATTTTCATAAGCGAATTTTGTTTAGTGATCAAGCTTACATTTGGTTGAATGGCTATGTCAACAAACAAAACTGGCGTATTTGCAGTGAAGATAATCCTCAAGTGTATGTTGAGGCACCATTACATCCAGAAAAACTGACTGTTTGGTGTGCTTTGTAGGCTGGTGGAATCATTTGTCCGTATTTCTCCAAAAACGATGCTGGTTAGAACGTTACAGTCAATGGTGACCGATATAGAGTCATGATTACGAAATTTTTTATTCCTCATTTGAACAACTATCATGTGCAGAAGCTGTGGTTTCAATAAGACGGCACAACATGTCACACAGCTCGTGCCACAATTGATTTATTGAAAGAAACCTTTGGTAACCGCATAGTTTCACGTTTTGGATCTGTGAATTGGCCTCCAAGATCGTGCGATATAACACCGCCAGATTATTTTTTATGGGGATATGTGAAGTCGCTAGTCTACGCCGATCAGCTTGAAACGATTGACCACTTAGAAAATAACATTCCCCGCGTTATTGCCCATATACAGCCACAAATATTGGAAAAATCATCGAAAATTGGACTTTAGATCAGACTACGTCAGAGCCAGCCGTGGCGGTCATATGCCAGATTTCATATTTAAATTATAATGCCAAAAAATTATCTTTTGAATAAAGTCAATTTCATGTCAATTTAAAAAATCGTCTTTGTTTTATTCCAATTCAAAGTTCTATACCTCTAAAAAGAACACCCTTTACAATATGTAATAAAAGCTTTAGAAACTATGCCGCCATTTCTTATCGGTACTCAAAGCATAGGGGTTTAAATAAAGGGTTGTGCCTTAGATTTCTCACACCTGTTCCGCCGAAATATACCGCATTGCAAAAAAAATTAATCTATATACCGATCTGAAACTTTGTGTACGAATACCATACCGTGTCAAATTCCCGAAAAAGGAGAAACATTTTTCTGCTCCTGGTACCAATATTTTTGTATAGCATTAGGTTGCAGGTCATGATTTTTGTATTACCCACCTAAGTTATAAATGCCGTACAAAAATGTTTGATGAAAAAGCCCCTCGAGTGGTAAATTTATCTTACCTGCGACTCATCTGTACCGATAAGAACTGACGGTATAGTTTCTAAAGTTGTTATTATTAAATATTGTAGTATTGTTTTATATGTGATAATTGTAATGTAATTTATTAATTGTGTCATACATATTTATAGTAAATGGAAACTTACTCATGGGGTTTCATTTCAATATAGTTGCTAGGAATGAGGCCCTCTCTCCCATCCAATTCAGCCCTATACCAGTTCATGTCATCTTCCATATTTAAAATCTGAAACAAAATAGTAGGTACATATATTAACTAAAATAAGATTGTTCAATCAAATCAATTAGTTGATTGGAGCGAACTGCTTAATCTTTGAAGATAACAAGAGAAAAGAAAAAATAAGATTGTGTTTTTTTATTATTAAGTTTCTAATGTTTTGGATTGTTTTAAATATAGAAAAAAAAATGGTAAAACTCTTGGTAGTACATTAGAACCCTAATTATCCGGGCTGCGAATTATCGATGCTATGATTTTCCATTATTCAAATTGCATTTTAAGTTTTTATCGAAATAGTGTGAGAGACGCATAACGCAATATGATAGCAACAGTGCTCGGGTAATCCCTGGAAATTATTCGCTTGTCTTGTTCTGCTATGTGTTATGCCGAATGTATGAGATTTAGTTGCGCGATAGAGAAGACTCGCTACCATGTTATATTCTTAACACTTGTTTTAGTGTTAAACACAAAGAAATATTGTTATTGTGAAATATGTTAACAATTAAACAAAAACTAGTGATTTTAAACAGAAGCGAATAGGGGATGTGTCACCTCATTATCACGAATGTATGAAGTTGGCAAGCAAATAATAAGACACATCAATACAAAGTGATTGATTCATGCGAAAATGAAAATTAAGATGAAGAAACAAATGAGACAGTATCAATCAAAAGAGTAAGTAATCAGGAGGCTGAGGAAGCTACCAATATTCTACTAGATTGCAGTGGTGCCTCGACATACGAGTTTAATTCGTTCCGTAATCTCGTATGTCAAACAATTTTCCCCATTGAAATTAACTGAAATGTCATTAATCCGTTCCAGTCGCCAAAAAACAAGTTAGTTGTTTTTGTTTTTAAAGTGTTTTTAAATAAGAAAAATGTATTTAAAAGAAGAAACATATATTTATAAGTAACAAAAAATACATACATATTCTATAAAAACAAGAAAAAGTCAAGTGCTTAATTTTCGTCAGTGGTCTTCGCTTTTTTCGTCTCTGTTTGTTCATTTTCATCTGCAGATCGTTTAAAAAAACTCTCCCAGGGAGGTTTATTTCTTCCTCCCTTTCAAAATATCGCGGAAATGCGTTAGGCAAGTTTCGTTGAACAACACCGATGCACGACCAGTTGTAACTTTTTCGTGGTGATTTTTATCCACGAACTCTGCAACTTTCTCCCACATTCCCAAGATCTTCTTTATATTTCTAATAGAGACGTCTTCCTATTCTGCATCCTCTTCAAAACTAATTTTTCATTCAACCACCATATGCTGCTGCGAATGTAGTTCGTCTAGCTCCTCGGTTATCAGCTCCTGAGACTGTTCCTCGACAAGTTCATTCACATCTCTTTCAGCCACCTCCAGACCCATGGATTTTCCAAGAAAAATAATCTCATCTACCACTGGGGTTCCGGTCCTTCACAGGCCCTTTTATCTACAGCCTCAGGCCACAGCTTCTCCCATGCTTCTTCTTAAGCATATTACTATGTTAAAGTGGTCCTTCCAGAACTCTCTAAGGGTCAGGTTTGTGTTTGGTATACAACTTCTTTAAATTAGAAATCACTTGATGATCAATGGGCTGCAAGATAGGAGTGGTGTTGGCCGGTAGGTAGAGAATCTTTATAAACTTGAACTCTTGGAGTAAATCAATCTTGTACAATGTGGCAATCAATTTCTTTCCTAGTTCTTTCGGCACGAAAGATTCTTTCCACTTTGGCTGTTGGTTGAGTTCCACAATAATATGACAGTAAAGACACAATTTTGTTGTCACACCACTGAATTGTATGTATTGAAGTATTCTCATAAGTACCAGAGTGTTCCTGAATGCTCCCCCTTTGTAATTTTTTAATTTCTTTCTTTCGCCAAACTTTATAATTCAGAATTCGATTTGCATGGATTGTTCCGATATAATTTATATATAACATATATATATATATATATATATATATATATATATATATATATATATATATATATATATATATATATAACAATGTGACCAAAATTTACAGACAGATCAAGCCTGGGAACAAATTAAAACTGCCGTAGGAGAAGCTAGCGAGAAAATAGTTAAGTGCGACGCCAAGAAAAGTACAAAAAGGTTGGTTTAACGAAGAGTGTCAGGCGATAGCAAAGGAAAAGAAGAAGATAGACAACAAATATTAACAGATAATAGAGAGTGTAAAAAACAAGAATATAGAATTGTTCGAGGAAGATTGAAAGCTCTGTTTAGAAGGAAAAAGAGAAACTACAATGAGTTGAAATTAAAAGAGATAGAAGAGAAGTTTAAAAACAAAGAGGTAATGTCGTTCTATCAAGAAGTTAAAAAGATGGGAAATGGTTACCAAAGCCACTGTAGTTATATGAAAGGTAAAGACGGAAATTTAATTAGCAATCCGGCAGAAATAATGACGGAATGGAAAAAACATTTTGAAGAACTATTAAATGGTGAGGTGGACCATGAAGCAGTAGACAACTGGACCGTTGGAGAAGATGCGATAGTTGAAAGGCAGCCTACAGAGGAGGAGGTGGTGACAGCAATACATGAAATGAAAAATAACAGAAGTCCTGGTAAAAATGACATATGCAGAGAAATGATCAACTTTGGTGGAGCAACTACAAAGAAAAATATATCAGCTGCTAGTGCAAGTATGGGAAAAGGAAATAATGCCTTCGGAGTGGTATGAAGCCCACATATGCCCTCTGCATAAAAAAGGAGACAAACTAAAGTGTGACAACTATAGAGGTATAGCCTTACTAGACACAGTATACAAAATCTTGGCAAGAATATTGAGAAATAAACTAAATTGCTACACGGAAAGAATCCTACATGAGTATCAGGCCGGCTTTAGAAAGGAGAGATCTACTGTAGACCATATCTTCTCATTAAAGGAGATACAAACGACTTGTTATGAAGGTAAAGTTCCCCTGCATGTTTTGTTTGTGGATTTTAGACAATCATATGATAGAGCCGATAAAGTCAAAATGTATCGAGCAATGGAACATTTGGGTATACCAAAGAAACTGATCCGGCTAGTAAAAATGACATTAAATAACTCTAAGTGTGAAATTGCTTGGAAGGGTCACATATCAGATCAATTTACGGTTGCAAAAGGCTTGAGACAGGGAGATCCTTTATCCACTACATTATTCAACTTAGTGTTAGAAACTGTAATCAGAAAAAGCAACATGAAGGTGGAAGAAACAATCACGAAAAATGAGCACCAGTGCTTGGCATTTGCTGACGATTTAACGATCCTAGCAAAAACCGAGAAAGAATTAAGAAGGGTTGTGAAGAAAATCATTGAAGAAGCACAAAAATTCAGATTGGAACTAAATGAAGACAAAACCAAATATATGATCATGGAAGGGACAGAAGGAAAAAAAGAAGACTTTAGTGTGAGGTCTGTAAGTGGTAGAAGCTATAGTTTTAAAAGGGTGGAGAAATTTGAATACTTGGGTGTAGTTTTCACTGAAAATGGAAAAGAGAAATGGGAGCTGGAAGCCAGAATAGCAAAAGGGAATAAAAACTTAGGTAAGAGCCCTAGTGAACTCAAAATACAATTCTAGACAAGGTAAACTCAGAATATACAAAACAGTAATTCGACCCACAGTGACATATCCCGGTGAGACATGGATATTAAATATGAAGGAAGAGGATACTCTGGAAAGATGGGAAAGGAAAATACTGAGACGCATATTGGGAGGACAGAAGATGGTTAGGAGAGAAGAACCAACAATGAATTATTGGCTTTATACAAAGAACCTACCATTACCAAGTTCGTCAAGTCACAAAGAATCAGATGGTTGGGACATGTGGAAAGAATGGAAGCAAACAGAATGCCTAAACTAATAATAACCAGAAAACTAATCGGCCCCAAAAGAAAAGGTAGACCCAGAACGAGGTGGATTAGTAAAGTGGAGGAAGACCTTAAACACGTAAAGGTGAGGGACTGGAAAAGAAAAGCACAAAATAGAAGCGAATGGAGAAATATTGTCCACCAGGTCCTTCAGAGTAGTTAAGAATGTTGTATATACATATTTAAGTTAAAGTTTTGTTTAAAATAATTGTATTTAGTAAATATTAGGATTATGTGTAAAAAAATGCCTTAGGCCTTAACGGCCTGTTGTGTGTAAAAATAAAATAGAAGAACATTTCAAATGGGCAATTTGGTCATAGTTATTATACTTCAAAAAACTAATGATGCGGGTGACTGCATAAACTCAAACCATGGCCCTCGGCTTAAAATCATTATCATGAAAGATATAGATATGGAGAAATGGAATATGAAGGAAACTATTTAACTTATGCATCCAAGCTTAATAAAATTTTGATGATATTAATTTGTGAACTGTTTTTTTTTACAATAAAATCCTTATTTTTTTATTACATGTTAATAAAATTTTATAAATTTGGATTAAAAATAGGTTTGTTCCACTGTTCCAGCAAAACAAAAAACCATCACATAACTTTTTATTATACTGTTTTCCTGCCAAAAATCTACGATACTTTTTAAAAATTTTCAAAATATATTGAACCAAAAATGTCAATTTTTTCAAGATTTTTCTTAAATTTTTTAGGTTATTCTCGAAATTATTTCATGAACAATTGTCCTGTTCAAAAAAGTATTCTTTTTGAACTTGAAATTTTCCAATTATCATTGAAATTTTTCATCCCCATAATCTTTGAATAAAAACTAAAAATATTCTTAAATTATTTTTGAACATGATTTATGACATGACATATATTCATGAATATATTGTGTGAAAGTTTTCACGCTGTATGGGTACCTACTACATATTTAATTTCCTTTTAAAACTACTAGTAAAACATAATGTTCACAATGAATAAATAAATATTGGTACAATTATTACAATATAGTATTTAATTTATCTATATTTAATTAAACATAAATTGACGACATTAAGTGATTAAAATCAGTCTTCATAACTGATTTTTGTCTATTCACATATGAATGAATATATGAATAAATGATTAGTATCAAAAATGAAGCCA